ACGATTCGCCGATGATCATGTTGATTTTTCGGCGGTTAGCATCGTTACCCTTCTCGTCTACTTTTCGTCCGCGTTTTTCGCCCGACTGATTTCCATGAGGCGGGGTTTGCGTGTTTTTGTCATTCTTCGGGACGCGGTCCGAATCGCGGATGAGATCATTGACACTAGATATCTCGGAAAGTTCTCCCGCGACTAACTATGCGGCCAGTCTGGCGCCGAGAACTTTACAATTCACGGTGGAGTGCCCGTGGGTTTGGTGGAGGTCGCAGAAAGAATTCTCGTCGTAATTCGAATTTCTCATCCACGTGTTACCCGTAGTTCGCCCTTGCTCCGAACCGGAGTTGATAGCGTAGTTATGCGCCCCTCGGAGATCCTGCCCCTCGTGATGGACAAATTTGTCGTTACGAGAGCTTTTCTTTTTCTGCTTCTGCTCGGACGCGTTATCCTTCGCGGATGTTTCCGTCGGCTTATGCTTCTCGGATAGGATTTTAGTTTCCTCTTCGATGGTTATGAAGTCGGTGGCCTTATGGAGCGCATCCTGGATCGTCAGCGGTTTCTCGAGAGTTATCCATTTGCGGAACTTCGATTTATACCAGAGCGATTTCCTTAACGCGTCGATGGCGGCTTTGTCGCTAATCCCGCTAACCCTAGCCATGACGAGTTTGAATCTACTCATGAAATCGCGGAGAGATTCATCCTCCTCGTGCACCAAGCTCCAAAGATCGGCATCGGAAGTTTCCGGGTTAATGAACATCGAGTACTGCTTCAGGAATTCCGAAGCCAGTCGACGGAAGCTTCCGATCGAATTTCGCCTAAGTTTGGCGAACCATTCGAGCGCGGCTCCTTCTAGGTTTTCGACGAAGAGGCGGCAGTAGCCTGTGTCTTTTTCGTGGTCCTTGAGCTTGGCTCGTCCCATGGTGATCTGGAACGCTTGCAGGTGCGCTTTGGGATCGGACGTCCCGTCGTAAGTTGGCACCTTAAGCTTTCCGGGATCGGGCAGTTTAATCTCGATGATGCGGGCCGTGAAAGGTGTTTTCCGAGACTCGTACAGTAGCCGATCGATCTCGGGTGCGGCGCTGGTCGCGTGGTGAATCTGAGATTTCACCGCTTTTACCGCTGCGGCCGTTTTGGTGATGTACTCGCGGAGATCTCGCATCTCGGTCACACCACCAGTAGTTTTCCGACCTTGTCGGCGTTTGCTGCGAGTGACCGGAGATCGCTCCTCGGCGGTTTTTTCATATCGTGCGAAGTCGAGATCCCCTTCGTCTCCAGTATACGAACGTTCGGGAGAAGACTCCGGCAGAGGATTCGAGTCTTTCTTCTCCTAGGATGGACATCAGCATCTTCATCTGTCGAATCGGCCTGGTCGCTCGTCTCCAGGTTAACCCGTTCGATGCTGTCACCCTCGGTCTCCTGTTCGTGAGTAGGAGGTTTTTCCGATTCATTCAGCGTCGCGTCAGGATTATCTTTTTCGGAATCTTTTTCCGGTAAGTTACCCTGCTTGGTTCTGGGACGATCCGTAGGAGCGCCGAAGTCGAGTCTCCTTCCGCGGATCTTAGTAGTTCTGCGGGGGCGAATCGCTCTGGTTCTCGCGGTTAGGGTTTCGAGCCGTTTTGCGAGCGAACCAATGAGCTTTTCCTGCTCTTCCGATTTTTTGTTAAACTCGGAAAGCATATTTTCGACGGTCTCGGCGTTAGCGTTCGTGGCGTTGGCCGCAGGCGCGTCTTTTGGTAGTGGTGTTTCAACGTTGTCGCGTTCGTTGCGAGTTTGGTTGTCACCAGTCATCGTTTCTTCGTTGGACACGTTGCGGCTACGGTGTAAGATAGATCCGACCCCCCCCCCCTCTTTCTTGCGCCAAACTGTGGGTGTCGATTTCCACCTACTGTCAAATAATCGTAAAAAAGGAAACTTCGGGAAAACCCTAAGTTTCCAGAGGAACCGGCTATCTGCAGAACCGCACAACGAAAATTAAGAAAACGATGAACTTTAGAATTAAAAAGTAAATAAACGAGATTGAAAGCAAGAAGGTTCTTATTCCGAATCTACGTAGAACTGGTACAAAAGAGAGGCCTTAAGCTGCATAAGCCGTCGGCAAAATCCTTAGAAATCTAAGAACGAAAACCCTAATTGAGACGCAGCTCGCTAACAGAAAAACGGAAATATTCCTAATTGCTAGATTTGGTGGTGAGAGCTCTGAATTTCGTGTGTGTTGCTTCTGCCCTAGACCTCCTATTTATATACTCCTCGTCTTGGCTATCCGATCTTTCCATTTCGCCCAAATTTGACTAAATCGGGAATTTTCCATTCTTCTTGATCCTTCCTTTTCTTCCGCGGAAATCTTCTATTTTTCTTCAAACCTTCCTTTTATCTTTAAACTTGACTTTTATTTTCCTTCTGCGACTAAACTGTCAAAACGTTATCAAATCTGCGGGTTAGATTCCGTTGAAATCGCGAGATGGGTTTTTATCGCGTTTTAGGTCATTCCGGGCCGTTTTGCGATAAATCCGTTTTCCGACTTTTTACGGGATCGTTTCCTGATCTGACGTCGTTTTTAATAAATTACTCGAGTTAATCGCAAGGTTTTACGATTTACTCGACTTTATTAAAAACACGTTTTTTACGACTTACTCGGTGTTTTTTATTAAAAACGCGTTTTTATGATTTCAACGAGAAATCTCGAATAAATCGTATAGTTTAGGCAATGTTCGGTGTTTCGTTTAACCGTTGCCGTTTTATATATGATTTCCTCGAGTTCTTTCCGAGAAAGCGAAGTTTTACGGTTTTTATCGTAAAACTCGAACGGTAAGTCGGATCGAGATGGAACGGGAGATGTTTCGGCCATAGTTTAGAACGTGGCCTTGTCGAAAGACGTAAGTTTCGAATCGGGAATGCGGGAGATCGAGACGCGGAGTATCCGGGAAGTCTCTAGTTCGCCCATCGGCGAACTAGTCAAGCATTTCCTAGTTCGCCGATGGGCGAACTAGTTGATCACTTCCTAGCTTGCCCATCGGCGAACTAAGCCGGGCCGGCTTAGTTCGCCGATGGGCGAACTAGAGAGTGCCTCTTAGTTCGCCCATCGGTGAACTAAGCCGCGCCGGCTTAGTTCGCCGATGGGCGAACTAGAAGAGAATCTCTTAGTTCGCCCATCGGCGAACTAGAAGAGTACCTCTTAGTTCGCCCATCGGCAAACTAAGCCGGGCTGGCTTAGTTCGCCCATGGGCGAACTAGTTACGACTAGTTCGTGTTTTACGGCTATTTCGGTTTTTCGCGGTTTCGTAAAACGATTCTCGAGTTTTATAAAATGATCTTCGGATTTCATAAAACGACCTTCGAGTTTTATAAAACGATCTTCGAGTTTTTATAAAACGATCTCTCGAGTTTTATAAGACGGTTCTCGAGTTTTATAAAACGATTTCTCGAGTTTTATAAAACGATCTTCGAGTTTTATAAAACGATCTTCGAGTTTTATAAAACGATTCTCGAGTTTTATAAAACGATTTCTCGAGTTTTATAAAACGATTCTCGAGTTTTATAAAACGATTCTCGAGTTTTATAAAACGATTTCTCGAGTTTTATAAAACGATCTTTGAGTTTTATAAAACGATCTTCGAGTTTTATAAAACGATTCTCGAGTTTTATAAAACGATTTCTCGAGTTTTATAAAACGATTCTCGAGTTTTATAAAACGATTCTCGAGTTTTATAAAATGATTCTCGAGTTTTATAAGACGATCCTCGAGTTTTATAAAACGATTCTCGAGTTTTATAAAACGATTCTCGAGTTTTATAAAATGATTCTCGAGTTTTATAAAACGATACTTAGGTTTTATAAAATGATTTCTCGAGTTTTATCAAACGATTCTCGAGTTTTATAAAACGATCCTTAGGTTTTATAAAACGACTTCTCGAGTCTTATAAAACGATTCTCGAGTTATATAAAACTGTTCCTTTTGTATTTTCGCGGGGAGTTTTGGTTATTAATTCCGTCGTACTGATTTTGACCCCAACATTATGTTGGCCACATGAAGCTTGTGAATGAGTAGACTATCACTGAGCATACTATCTTGGACGAAGCTGACATTGGAGCGAAGCGGCACCTATGTGTTCATGTTCAGACGCATGAGTAAGTTGGCCATTTCTAACACGTTTTTTCCGGTGTGTGTCATCCTTAACCAATTTGGTTTATCTTGTGTAACGGTCCAGTGGTGAAGCTCTATCTATGGGACAAGGATGCATCCGATTTCTGCCACAAATTCAAAACCTCCGGAAGCAAACCAAGTGTCCTTTTTGTCACTACTCCAAACCCTAAACGTCTTAGAGGTTAGCACTACAGAGATTTAAAAATATTGGCATTTGAATCACAACTATTTGTGTTCATATGTAGACCTAAGTTGCTTTGGTTTAAAACAGCCGTTTTTAAGTGGTTGAATTGCTTAGATGAAATGAGAAATTAGTATATCGCGCTAGTATGTTTCAATTATATTGCTTCTCAATACAAGCTCAACTTATTGGAATCATTTTATTATTAGTAGCTATCTGTGTGATTTCCATTTTTAACAATAGGGTTATATTGTTGGACTCTTTAGTGTCGTTTACAGAATTTTTTTGGTGCTAATCAATTCACATGTCATGATCAGGAACACTTTGTCTCACTTCTATGGCATCATCTCGAGTTTTTATGGACTCAGATGTCGGGCCTACCAGGGACTACCTAGGATGGTATGCATCTTTGTATTAAGATATATTTTTTTGTCTGTTTTCCGACATTTCATGTAACTCGACATTAACTTATTGATGGTTTCAACATTTTCCTCAGGTTAAGCTCTAATGCTGATATTGCCAATAATATTGACGCATAGATTGTTACTAAGCCTGAGACGTTGAGTCTAGAGCAGATATTCGCCTACGTGAAGTAGAAATCGGCTAAGGTACAAGAGTATTTCTAAGTCATTTACATTGAGATATGCTTATGTGTTTATGAAGTTTAGTTCACTTTTCACAATGGATAGGTGACTTGGTTTGAATGCACAGCTACTATAGGTGTTGTCCAGGGATCACCTTGGTATTACATTTCCTGTGGTGGGTGTAATAGTAAGGCCGTAAAAGGACCTACTTCTCTGTTTTGTAACAATAACAAGTGTGAGAAGAGACAAGTTATAGGCATTCCTTAGTAAGTGCCTCTGACATAGTTTGGTTTCCTATTTTGGTGCTAACCATATCTGATTTTATTTCATTGCAGATACTTCATTAAGATTTCTGTTTATGATAAAAGTGAGCAAGCAGTATTCGTCGTACTTGGTGATGCTGACAAAGTATTCGTCGTACTTGGTGATGCTGACAAAGTGTTGACAAAGTGTTGTCGGAACTATTTACTCATAGCTTAAATAATTTAAACTTACATAGGTTCAACTTCAATGGTAGGCTAATGAGGATGTTGGAGCTGATCATTGTGTCCCAATTCCTCGAGCTCTACTTGATGCAATAGGGAAGACTTTCAAATTCATTGTGAAGATCTCGGATCATAATTTATCAGGGAAGATTCAGTCCATAACTGTCACAAAGATACTTCCACCTGATGTTCCACATCCTAATGCACGCTTGGAAGATGAGGGTATTGCAGAAACCGCTAATGATATTTTGAAGGCTGGAAGTGGGGGAGGTGATGCTTCCGGAGGCGGTGAAGGTTCTCCAGGTGATAAGGTTAGAAAAGCTTCTGGTGGTTTTGAATCAGATGAAACAAAGCGTACAAAGAGTGGCTAATACAATGGCGACCTATCCTTCTAAGCAGTGATTGTCGTTGCTGCATTTTATTTATGTCTTTAACATTTTACTAGTGACTTTTTTTTACTGCAATTTATAGACTTTGGTCCATCTGAGACAACTTATGTTTCTTTGAATACATTTTTATTTTGTGTGTTTTTTTCACTATCGTACTTAATTAAGATCTCTTAGTCTCCTTAGTCACCACAACACATATTATCAAGGTGATCCCTGTTATAACAATCTTCCACTGTTCTTAATAGCTAGCTCATGTGTATTCAAACACACATAACATGTTCTCATTCTTTTGTTTTTATGTCTCCTATTGTTAACTTGCGAAAGACGGCTTTCATTTTACAGCAAATATGTTGAACACTTTAAATACAACAAATTCCTTCAAAGTTTAATTTAAAGCTACTACTAACAAAGTTAGAGTCATACACATATGATTATAAATTTTAAACTTAAAGATGGTCCAAATGCATGAAAATATACTGTAAGTATACATATATATAATATATAAGTATTCCGTTTGAATTACATATATATATATATATATTGCTTATCATATTTTCTTCCCCTAAGTTTATATAATTGTTGTCTAACTCCTTAAATATATTATGGAATGGATGGGCCACTGGAACATTAAAACCAAAAAAAAACAAGCCAATCTAATTTCAGTACTCAAGGTTAGAAAGGCCTAATGGGAATGCATACGTTGATCCTGAATGATCGAAATTAAAAAAATTATGTTGGTGGGACGTTTCGAACCCAGGTTGGTAAACATGAATGACAATTATTCTCTCAATAGGCTACAAACACACTTTCAATTTATAATCCACCGAAATATTTCTTTATACATCATCGGGTCGTGCAATTGCATTGTCCTAAAGTGCAACTAATACGTCCTCATTATGAATGACCATATAGACGCAACTGATACATCAGAAATGGAAAGTTGTCTAAGTCCCTAGAAAAACCCTAACAATCTTCGAGGGTGACATTCTAGGCAAACGGCGCAGCCAACTTCGAGGCTTCTCCAAATCCCAACTCTCCTTGAAGCTCCTCACCTGATCAGCTGCAGGTTTGCTGAATAAATCTATGTACCCGACGTGTGGTCGTTGGTAGTTCATACATCTAACCTGCGTTTTTTAAATCCATATAGAAAGCTCATCTCGTGGTAGGCCTACTATATAGATGTTACTATTGTGTTAACAAGATCTTAATTAAGTTGCAAATGGTGTTACAAAAACCGTAGGATTAATATTACGGATTATCACCTTTCACAGTTGTCAATGGAAAAAACTACTCATCCTATAGCAAAGCTGACTTAGTTTAGTGATTTGTAACTATAGTTAGAAATAAAGATCAGCATTGATTTTCCTACAACAACAACATTCTGGGCTAACCAATAATCCTATTTCTTTGTTCTTATTGTGTTAACATCAGGAAGCTAACAATGTCACCAAAAGTTGTACGTATATGTCGTATGTGGCGCATTTTGAACCACAACAATAAAAATCAGTATATTGGAACAGGGTTCATTTGTATTGACATCAAGGTATGCAACACTTTCAATACTAAACGATCTAGGAGAAATACAAAACAAATGCTTATTTTATACTATGTCAACAGGGAAACATATATGAAGGGAAGTTTGATAAGTTCCTTTGAGAGGAAAACATTAAGTTCATCCAAGAGAACGCGATATATCAAATTCAATATTTTGTCTTATTAGAAAATGCTCAACGATATAGGCTCACTCATCAGCAATACATTATTCACATCACCACATCATCAGTGATAGAAAAGATAGAGGAAGATATCCCCATGATGCCTCTGTATTCTGCCCCCTACGGTATAAACAGCTGATCAAAATAGCTACTACTTCAAACTACTTACCAGGTATACCTATTTTTAATTTAAACTTTTAAAAAATAAATTTGCTAATCAAAATAAATATTATACCAGATGTAGTTGGACAAATAATAATGTTCCAACATTGTGGTTGGGCTACTCTTAAACATGTATTTAACTTATACCTTCTTCCCCACCAAACCAAAGACACCACTTTATTAAAATACTAGGATAAGACCTGCGCTTTGCGCAGGGTGAATATACGTAATTAAAATATAAAATTTTAGTATTGATAAATTTAAAATTTACATAAATTATTTTTATATGTATTTGAAATTTTAGAATTTCGGAATTTTTAAATAATTATCTATAAGTAGGATCAGAAATAATTGTAATTAGAACTGTAGATCAAATCTTAGAATTTAATAGACCCGATTTCATATATATTTTCACGTTTTAGTGTTCGAGTGATGGAAAATAAACAGAGTGTCATTGGGCTTGATTGACAGAGTATTAGCAAATTTCTTAATGTTTTTTTAAGAAGCAGTTGGTAAAATAATTGCATTTAAAATATATAAAGTTTCAAAATTAATTTAATATAATTTATTTATTTGTATAATAATATTAGAAAACTATATTTTTTACAAATTATTATTTTTAAAGAATTTTATAAAAAATTAAGTTAAATTTAAAATTATTTTTAAAAACAATATTTTAAGTTTGTCAAATACAAATAAAAAATTGAAAATTAATTATGGTCATGATTTAACATAACCATAATGATTTAAATTTTTTTTTTAAAAATAAAAATTAACAAATTTAAAATTAACTCGGTTTTATATCATGATTTAACAATTTAAAAATTAATTATGACTATGAGAAGTTTACGTTCACGTATTAATTCTATTTATCTTCAATTTTTTCTTTTGTTGTGTTTTTTTATATTTTGGTTATTACTCGATATAAATATTTATTTTGAAATTTATTCTCATTTCGCTTATTTGTTTTGACCTGAGATTTAGAAAATACTTAAGATTTAAAATAATTAAAAAGATACATACTTAGGTTAAGATCTGCACTTTATGCATAATAAGTATTTTATATTTATAATTTATTTTATAATTTTCTGCATATCATAAAATAATAAAACAATATATATATATATATTACATAACTAAGAAATCAGTCACTATTATGTAATAAATTGACGTATGCATATAAATTTAACTATCACTCTTCTTTATTCGCAATTAGCGTAAATAAATCAAAATAATCAATCTTATATATTGTATATGATATATAATTAAATTTAAATGATATAAACATAGTAATATGGCACACTTTTAATATTGATATTTATTAAATGAGGTTTCTACTCATATGATTTTATGATTATTTGCATATTTGTGTAACAAAACTTTACACCAACGATTTTTTTTTTAATGTGAGATGTTTAGTAGTTTCAATAATTTATAATCATTTTTTTTTTTAAAATGACATATTTCAAAATTAAAATATTACCTTTTCAATATATGTTGAAGACAATCAAAATATAAGTATGTATTTTCATACGATTTATAGTTTAATTAAAACGATATGAAATATATATATAAACTAAAATTATTCCTTCATATGGTCTTATAATCATTATATTTTAATATAGAAAACAAATTAAAACCTTGATCCTTAAAGTTTATGTGAGACTTTTAACAATTTTAGTAATTTATACTCATTTTGAAAAATTCGAAATACAACATACACAAAAAAAAATCTAGATTTTTATTATATGATTAATGTAATTGTGTAATTTATTTTAATAATAAATAAATAAACAAAATGAGAAAAAGTATACAGATTGTTATCAAATCTTTATTGTGTAAAATCATTAATTGCCATATATATTTTAATCACATTAGGTAATTCCGTATGTTTTATTTAAGGAAAGCATGCGAAACAATAAATATTTGATATATGCGACCAACTATAGTCTACGAAATATTATATTGCTAGACAATATAATTTTTAGACTATACATTATATCACATGCTCTAGAATTCTTGAGATTTGAAATAGAAGCCAAATAGCTATGCCACATAGGATTGTGGTTATTTTTAATTCTTACAAACTTAAGGTTACAACTTTTTAAATGATTCTCAAATAACATATAGGGGATTTGGTTCAAAGCAAACTTTTATATATCTCCACACATCTTATGCAACTCAAAAATAGTTCGATTAACACTGATGGACAATGTTGCTACTAGGTTTAGAGAGATGCAAACCGAAACTTTATTCAAATACAAAGTTGTACTCATTACAAGCATTAATCCAGAATATTTGGAGATAATAATTCTTACATAATTTAAGGCTATAATTAATATTTCTAAATCTTCTATAATTGACTACAAGTAAACTGACACTGGCGTCAACTTCTGGAACCTGAATTTATTGTGACAGCAGAATTGATCTCATTCAAGTTCATCCGGAGAAACGGAGTTAGTAATCACTAATAAAATGATCATCTCATCTTCCAGTTCAAGCCTTCAAATAAATCTCTATATATTCATCATTCCTTAAAGAGATATATCATCTCCGGGTTTCCATCCCATAACTATTTCATGCTCTGCATTTTTTAATTGTTATTGAATACTAATATTTAACGAGCGAGTACGTAACTCATTTTGGCTTGCTTCCCACATGAATAAACATCTACAATTTGTACCTTGGGTCGTTAGACTAACGTAGACCGTAGCCACTCATATAAGATTAATGGAGTTCCTTGATGCTTATGACAACCAACACATTAACCTACAAGTTTGTTAATTAATGTTTTTCCTGAAGAACAATAATTGAGATTGAGGAACACACATAGAAACCATACCTAGCTCTTTTACAGCATCACTAACCAAAAAAACCTATCTCTAGATTTCAATGACCTTCAGTTTCTAAATAAAAAATGAAAAAAATATTAGGATATATGTTGTCATTAAACAAATCAAAATATTGGACCACCCATATATTCCCTACTCGGCCCACGAAGGTGTTGTCAAAAGTAAAACCGAGGACATTAGTTAGAGTTCACTACTTCATACAAATTAGGGTTTACGTTTTCAAACCTATCATATAGAAAATCTCATTTAACAG